GGCGGGGCACATAGGCAGCAGGGGCGCACACAAAGCCACGCGTCTGGAGGCAAAAGAGTTGTGTCATCGTGTCAAAGGAGGGTGTAGGGGGGATTCAATTAAGCCCCTGTGTCCGCGCGGCTGCGACGGCGGCGGCGGCCCCTCCTCTCCTCTCAGATTGCTCGATTGTCGGGGGGCCACGGCCGCGACACCCGGCCGCCGCCGTCGACGTCCTCCCCTCTTCGGCAGGTAGCAGCTCGAGGACGCAGCGGGGCAGGCGGGCGCGCCCCCGCGGCTGGCTAGTGTTACCGCCGCAACCGTATTTACTCGGCGTCGCAACGTGAGACACGCGTGAAGTATACTTCCCGGTGCATAAGCTAATACAGCGAGCTCGAATAACGAGAGCAAACGATGATTGAAAACCACTTTGCCGTTTTGCGGTGTACTGCGCGGCACGTGCGGCCCCGGGGCGAGGCAGGGCGGGGCGGGGCGAGCAGGAAGCTGCCAACGCCCTCGCGAGTCTGCACGCCCGCGGCGGCCGGGAGGCGAGGCAGAGCTCTATTAGTAATACTGCCACGCGGTCGCTCGCGCTACACAAGTGCACCTACATACTTTGCGCACGTTTACATTTCGAAACAAAACAATTAAAATAGAAAAGATAGTAAAATTTCCCGTCGTCGTCGCGATATGACTATAAAACGCGCCGCGCGCGCGTGATGATAAAAAAAAGTGGCAAAGTCTATCTCTATTTTTAAACACCGCCACTCGCGCTGTAATCTATGCTCCGAGCGGTACACACACTCCGTCTAGGCATATAGGGCTTATCACGGCCGCGTGTGCATCTAGGTGAGTGTGATAGCCAGGTAATTAAACGGCGGGCGGCTCTAGGAGAGGCGTTGGGGCTTATCAGTCAACAGCAGCAGCAGCAGCAGCAGCAGCAGCAGCAGCAGCAGCAGCAGCAGCAGCAGCGACCCGCGGCGGCCGGACGCACGTTGTAGGGTGGCAGGGCGTGGCGGGGCGTGGCAGGGCGTGACGAGGCGGGGCGTGGTGGGGGCGTTCACAATGGTTGGGAGGGCTCAATTGGGCCCGGGTCGTCATAAGTTGAGCCACTGGAGCGCATAACGACGCCATGAGATGCTCAGGGGAGCCTACTCCTTCTCTAGCCGCGGCGCCGGGTGCCTCCTCGTGGCTCATGACCCATGGAAAGTAGGACGACGAGGCGTCGCGCGGAGGAGCGTGACGACGACGGCGGGAGCCCGAGGGCCAAGGGGCGAGTGACACACCCTGGTCCATGAGCGGTCCGCCCTGCTGCTGCTGCCGAACCCGGAGGTGCATGACGGCGAGCTCCAGCAGGGAGCTCGAGGGGCGATAGGCTAGTGACACACCCTGGTCCATGAGCCGTCCGCACTGCTGCTGCTGCCGGACCCGGAGGCTGTGCAGGCCACGCCGCCGACAGATGGCGCGGCGCCACGGGGCCCTCCCCCCGGACACGACACGCATGCGTGGACCGCGGCCGTTAATTGAGTCACTCGTAACGCACGCACGCACCACACACACGCACGCACGCACGCGCCGGGGGTGCGGAGCCAGCGCGCGCTGAGTCACAGGCCCTGCTGCGGCTGCTTGACTGCTTCCGGCACGTCCGCCCGTCCGCCGAGACTCAGCAGTCAGTCCAGTCAGCAGGTCGGGTTGTCAGTCCGTCAGCCCCGCCGCCGACCCCACCGCGGCGGTCAGTCGTCCCCCGTCACTCCATGGAGTCGATCCTGTGTGTGTGACCCCCCGCGGGCCCGTTGTCTCCCTTGACGGCCAGTCCCGCGGCCCTGGCCGTCCCTCCGGCTCCGGGTCAACCCGCTCCTGACGGGCACACATCCCCTCCTTCGCCCTGGTGTGTTCTCCTTTTTCTTGTTTTTTGAACCTCATCGGAAGTGACAGACAGGGGTAGGCGTGCGAAGCACGTGGGTCCGAAGCTGCACGCTTCGGGGAAGCGATTTTTCAGGACACCCGTATAGTTAATTGACGTTCGGGGGCAGGGGGTCGGGGGCTCGGCCTGCTGCTGCACCCGGACACCTGTGTGGGTGTCGTCAGAACCCTCTGGGTCTGGCCTAACATCTTTGGCGTATGCGACCCATAGCCCGACCACATTGCTAAACGGAGAAGCACAAACAAATTAATAGTAAAAGCAGTTTACAGGTTTCAAAGTTCCCGCGTCGGCATTCACGTACCACTCGTTATGGACGTATTACTTGAGCTCGTGACTGAGTCGGTAATGAGACTCGGACCGGCTTTCGGGGAAAGGGAACAAGGAAGGACCGAGGGTCGAGGCGAGTCCTGATCGCGTCTGATTGGGGTGGGATTTGAGAAAGAGAGAGAGAGAGAGAGAGGATCATACAGCCTACGCCGGGCCTACGCGCGCCGCCAGCCACGCCTTTTCGTACGAACTGAACTGTGCGAGGGGTGCCCAACTCGAAAAAATCGTGTACACCTGATTACCAAAAAGTGATGATTACCAAGGATTACTAGAGATTACTGAAGATTACTAATGATTACCAAGGATTTCCGAAGATTACCACTGACAAAAGATTACTAGAGATTACCAAAGATTGCCATTGATTACCATTGATTACCACAGATTACCAGTGATTACAAGGGATTACCACTGATTCCCAAAGATTACCAGTGATTACCAAAGATTTCCAGGAATTTTCTTGCTAGATTACTTAGTGATAACTGGGGACAACCTAGTGATTACCAAAGATTTCCTGGTAATTACCAACGATTACTTGGTGATTACCAACGATTACCTAGTGATTACTTTGGATTACCCGCGATTACCAGGGATTACTGGCGATTACCAATGATTACCGGCGATTACCAAGGATTACTGGCGATTACCAAGGATTACTGGCGATTACCAAGGATTACTGGCGATTACCAATGATTACCGGTGATTACCAGGGATTACCTACTCTGTGTACACCTGATTACCTTTGTTGGGCACCCCTCGGAACTGTGAGTCACGCTGAGCGGCACTATGCTCTCTCGCCCGCGCCTCCGCCGCCGTGAGCCATGGACCGGGGAATTCCCATGGCAGCAGCGCGCACCGCCCGAAACTCATATCTGGTGCATCAGTCAATAACTCCAAGACTTCCCACGACTGACTATATTTTCCGATTTAGGAGCAATACACAAGAAGTCTTTTTAAAACGTGTAACAATGTTACAGAGTGTCGAAACGTTTTACAAGCGCCGAAAATGTAAACGATAAAGATTGTTTAGTTTTTTAAGAACTCGAAATAAAACTGCAGGATCACGGCACGCGGACGATGATAAAAACTTTTGGAGCCGCGGGGGAAAAGAGACAGCAGAGGCTATGGCCCGGCGCCACGCGCTGTAGTTCCGTTTCCTGCGATTTATCCCCCCGCGGCCCCCGGGGTCCATGATGGTCGGATGGCTCCCTCCGCTGCGCTGCGCGGGCTCCCCTGGGTCGGGCGGCGTCCGCCAGCGCGGCAGCAGCGCCCTGCAGCGGGCTGTGATGCACTCTGCGGCGCTTGTATCTGCGCCCGCGGCCGCTTTGAGTTACGGCGGTCCGGAGGTGGTGGGACCCGGCCGGTGTGGGACCGCGGACGCGGCCGGCCCGCGCCCCTCTCCCCCGAGCGCCCCACTCGTCACGGTCCACGCGCCGCCGCGGCGCAGGCACGGGATGCGACGGGGCAGGCCGCCCGCGGTTGGGTTTTTGCCGGCTCATTCAACCCGGCGCCTTTGGTTCATTCATTCAGTCCGTCACAAAAAAGAAGGTACAGAAGCGCGACGACGACGCTATCCAGCGGCCACGTGGGCCCACGCGCGCCTCGTGGCTTACCTTTGAGACTGGACGGACACCATTCGGACTGGACCCACGCGAGTGGAAATATCTAGTTGAAAATTAGTTGGTGGCATCTTGCGTCGCTGCATGGTGATCAGGTCACGCTCACCACATACTCGCAAAGCGAACGAATCTCGCGCGCAGCATGGAGGGGGACGAGGGGGGTATCCAATCTCCAAAATCGTGGTCCGACTACTCCCTATTACCTTTATTACCTCTATTACCTATCTATTACCACTATTGCCCTTCTATTACCTGTATTACACAATCATTACGCACCTTTTAAACGACTATTAGAGAAGTAAAATATTGGCATCACCATTGAATTTTGACGCAAGATTATTGTGTGACCAATTGCAAAAATTGAGAGATTGTTCTTCCAAATATCTGGAGAGGAGGGAGGTCAAAATTTAGACTCAGATTTGACCAAATTTTAATACACAAACACGAATTCTTAAATAATCATTCGCGGAAAAGGTGACGTTATAGTGTTTTAAGTTTGTTGCATCCACCATCATTACTGTCACTGAAAAGGAAAATAATTGATGGGGGAGCCGGGGAGCCTGTTACAACTGAACAGAATTTAGGAGATATACTACCGCCCTATTTTGCCTGCATATTTACCGCTTCCGAAAATTACACATGCTCCACAAAAACGAAGTTTAACACCAAAAACCTAACTTTTGCGACTAGTACTCATTACATGACTATTACCTGTATTACCAAAACTATTACCGAACGACTGTCCCGACTATTACCTGAGTGGATACCCCCTCGGAGGAAGACGGAGGCGGTCGACCTATCTATCTCGGCAGTTTTTGGCGTTGCCTTGGATAGAAGTTTAAGCCGCTTTACTTAAGTTTGTCGTCCGTTCTATATTTCGGCATCTCTCTCCGTCTCTATCCGCGCCGCGTGTCCCGCGCCTCCCGCGCTCGTGCCTTCTTCCTTCACGTCTCCGGACAAAGCTGCTGGCTGCTTTTTCATCCGGGGGCGTCGGCGGCGCGAGCCGCGAGGAGCGCCCGTGTCGGGTAATGGCCTCCCGCGCACCTCCCCGTCCTCCTCCTCCGCGAGGCTCTGGTGGTCCCGGATGCTCAGCGGCAGCTCAGCGCGGTGTGAAGCGCGCGCGCCCTTCTTTTTCTTTCCCTACAAATCACACTCACTCAGGCGCTGCTGCTACAGCTACGACTGCCGCTCCAGCTGCTGCTTCTGCTGCTTCTGCTGCCGCTACCACTCCGGGAGCCGCGAGTGTTAATGAGGCGCCTTTGTCGCGTCCGCCGCTGCTGCCGCCGCCGATCAGAGGTGAATCCCATTCACGGCGCGCTCCATTCATCTTCTCATTGCGCTAATAATAACGCCCGCGATACCCGCGTCGTTGGACGCCACGGTACACTGTCGGAAAGGAAAAAAGTGAGTGTTACACGTTTTTATACATTTTATACACACAACTAAAAACGAAATAAATAGTGATAGACATTTTGACCGCAAAATTTAATTTTTCAATATTTTTTTTCTTCGAATTTTCTCCTGAGGCATCCTCAACGTTCGTTTTTGTTCCGTTTTTGCGGTGTACATGAATTTATATAAAAATGACGAGGGGCTGGTGTGGTGTGGGGCGGGGCCGGGCGGGGTGTGTAACCCTGCCCATGCTCATAACCAGACGGCCCGGAGGTGTTGTTAGCCGGCGCGGCGGCCGGCCACCTCCTCCCCGCCACGGCGTTCATGGAGGTGAGAGATCTTCAGATAGCCCGGCAAGCAGTCTTGTCGCCTTTTGCCGTGCTCACACACGCTCCCTCCCTCTCTCTCTCTCTCTCTTACGGCCGCGCTCGCAGGACGAGTGTATCGCGTGTCGCGGTGCGGGGGCCTCGCCTCTCTCGCCCCGCCTCACACTTCCTGCACACGCGGCTCTGGTGTCGTGCTCCGCGCTCGCTCCGGGAGGACCCCCTGCCGCCAGGGAGGCAGCCTCGTTGATGGCCACCCCGTGTAACAAATCCTCTCCCGTCGTCCCCGTCGTAGCCCCGTCCCCCCACGACGTCGGCCGCATGCGGCCAAAAAAACTGATTGATGGCCGTCGATTAGGGCGTCTCGTCTGCACCCTTTGGGACGGGTTTCTCATATACCTCACGGCTCATGTGTGCCGCGTCGTGCGCCCCCCGCAGCAGCGAAGGCAAGGGCAGGGACATAGGGTAGGGGGTGGAGGGACAGCAGCAAACTGCTGAGGCGCAACTTGTTAGCGAGGCATGTCAGCAGCAGCGGGTAAGGCTGCAGCGTGCAGACTGCAGGTCACATGACGTCACCGGTCTGCAGCCATTAGTCCACGCCACTGATAACTAATCACTATACCCGCGTACCTTACCTTGGGGAAGGTCGGGACCGTTCGACCTGCCCTCCCCCGCGCCGCCCCAGGCACAACGGCGACACGACGTCGACCGATACATACAGTCTGATACGGCATGGAAACAGTTGGCGAGGGGTGCTTTTGGACACTTTCTACTTAACTTCACTCACATCAGTTGACCTTAGGTTTCCAAAGACCTCCACAGCGGGTCGGATATTGGGATTGGGAGAAAAAGAAAGCCGAGACAAACTGACGGCCTGGAACTTTTCTTACTACGTACAGCTTAAGACAGCCAAAGCAGGGACTGTCTAGAAAGTGAACGTGATCCAAAATCAGTCTTGCATGCACAACATGATTCTTTTTTTCAACTTAGTTTTTTTTCCTGGTGTGGTCACACGACTGGTTGGTCATACAACCTGCTGCTGCTGCTGCCCGGCGCTTGTCACTATTAGTCAGTGCCGGGGGTCGGGTCCGAGCCCCACGGCCCGGCGGGGCTACTAAGCGTCAGACTGCGGGGAAACATGCGTGAGTCATAGGCGAGGTGGGGCGTGGGGGAGGGGCGGGGGTCGCCCAGGGCGCAACTCTACATACCTCTCCCACGAGCTCGCCGTATACGCTCAGCACGCTCGGCAGGAGCGCCGCCCAACTCTTTTTCCCTGCTCTCCAGCGCGCGCGCGTGGTGGGTATGGTCTCTCCAGAGCGACACGCCGCGGGCCGCCCCCCGCGCGTCTGGAGAGAAATGGCGTCTTGTCATCCGTTCGCCGCTCCCGCCCAGCCCGGCCGCCGCCTCGCGCGCCCTGCAGCGACGCGCCATAGCCGTGATGAATCGGGGCGGCAGGAAGACGGTTTGCGACTCGTTTCACGGCCCAGCTGATCCGTGATTGCTCTATTCCGCCGGCACCCCACCCCTCCCCGCCCCTCTCCCCTACCCAGCAGAGAGCATCGCCTGCTCTCCAGTCATTTGGTTAATCATCACGACTGGAGCGATTTGTCACGGCCTTCGGTCTGCCCTCCCGGCTTGCGCTCCAGATGGCGGCGGTGGTGGTGCCGGCCGCCCGTGCGTTCAGGTCTCCGAGGAAGAAGGGCGTACCGTCCGAGATTGCATCGAGCCAGTTCCCACACGCGCCCGACTATCGCCTGGACATCGGTCACCCCCGTAGTGTAAGTACCCGTCGAGCACCTCCTCCCACAATGTGGGTTCAACACCTCCCTAAAGTTCCCGCGCGTCCTTCCTTCCCATGGCGGCCACAGCCACAAGCTCGCGTCGAAATAACACATTTTATTTTTGTTGCAGTGCCCGCGGCCCAGGAGTGCCCAGGTGCCGCAGGGCGATGGCCGCGGCGCTGGCCCTGCCCTTGCCCGCCTCCCCCATAGCGCACCTCTTCCAAAAGCCCGCGCCCAGCCCCTCCTTGGCCTTGAGCCCGCGGGGGCCGCCGCCCAGCTGCTCCTCGCGGGTACCTCGCCGCCGCCGCGGGTACCTTCACCTCGGCGCGATGCTAAGTGTTCTCACGCCGGCCCCTCCGCGGTACCCACGCGGCCGTGACCCCCCGGTCCCCCTTCCACTAACCTCCACGGGTGCGGCCACCACGTACTCCTCGGCCCGCATCCATATTGTGCGGTATGGGGATTAATGTAACCCCACGTAATGAAAAATAACGGGTAATACTCCCCTTCCCCAACCTGTCGGAGATAACTACACACAAAAAAGAGGTTCCATGCGAGGGGAGAAAAAGCATGCCAAAGAGACGTGCCGCTTTGCTAATTTCGCGAATGCGGCGCGGTGGGTACTTGCATATACGTCCCGCGTCTGTCCTGTGCCGTCGCCCTTTGAGTACCCGTCCCGGCGGGTATCTCCTTCCTGCTGCAACGTGAGCCGCGTCGCCGCCGCCCGCCCTGGCCATTCATTCCTCCATTCATCTCTTTCCCATCCGGGAGTCACGCCGGGCCGTTTGTCTTAGGCGTCTCTCTCTCTCTCTCTCTCTCTCTCTCTCTCTCTCTCTCTCTCATGAGGTGAGGACGGCACTGCTGATGACGCGCACAGGGATCCCTATTCCACGTCCCGTTTCCCCCCTGTGTAGGACAGGTGTGATGGACGGAATCCCCGCCTGCATGATCCCACCCGGGCCCTTGCAAAGGGCACAGCCGTCCTCTGATCTTGTGATTAATCGCCCACCGCGCCCGGCCGGGATCGATCCCCGCGACGGCTCTAGGAGAGCAGAGCTGGAGCAGAGCTGAAAGCGGATCCAGCGGAGCGCCATCTCAGCTTTGGACAGCTATGCGGCAGGTCATTATATCAATAAGTTCAAGACTTTTAGATCGTCACACGCAGTCGCGGTTGTCGTGCCATTTTCTCTATCAGACACCAACCTCTCTCTCTCTCTCTCTCTCTCTCTCTCTCTCTCTCTCTCTCTCTCTCTCTCTCTCTCTTTGTGGCTTTGCTCATGCGCGACGTGTTTGTATGTCGGCCCGATATGTATTCTCCGAGATGGGCGGGCGCGCCTACCTCCTCCCCGCTCCTCCCCGCTCCGCACAGCTCCGCCGCTAACATGCCCATGTGTGTTCACGTACTCGTATGATTGCAACCTGTCGGCTCGGGCCGTAACGCCCCCGCCCCACCCCGCCCTACCACACCCCGCCCCGCCCCGCCGCGCCCGGCACAGGTAATGTGTGTCTCATTTCAATAAGTGGCCCAGCGCCGTGCTCCGCCTGGAACCATACGCATGATGCAGCCATCGAGATGGCGGACCGGCGTGGAGCAGACGGGCGGGGCGGGGCGTGGCGGGCCGCAGTATTTGTGACGACCTATTACACCCAACCCCGCCCCACCACGCCGCCGAGCAATGCGCCGGCAGAGCGCCTGCAAGGCGGGCCGCCCCGTCGAGCGCGCGTGCCGCGCGGGACTGCCTAACCCACAGGCTGACGCCACGGCCAGAGCCAGCCTGCGTGATCACGGGGCTAGTGTTGGCGTACCCGCACCAATTCAATTCGGGTCTGATGCGTTTCAATTTCATATCATGATAAATTTATACATTACACAAATTCGTATGCATATTATTTTTCTTAATTTGAGCGCCACGAGTGTTGAGGGCGACCCGCCCACAACCAGCAGCCCTTGGAGCTGGAATGCAAGAGGGAAAGAAAGAGAGAGAAGAGAGACGCACGTACACGAGTACGTGATGAGCAGGGTGGTGGGCGCAAGTCGCGGCCAGTTTGACCCATCCTTTCCAGAAAGAGAGAGAGAGGGGGCGGTGGGAGCAGAAAGTAAATGTCTAACCTTACACACCTCAGTTTTGTTTTTCATTACATTTTCTTTTTCCCCAGCAAATATTAGACGGGAAAACAAAAAGAAATACATTACATTCCCCCCTTTTTTAAATCTCGGTTGTCAAGATGGCAAAGAGAGCGATGGTGAATAATTGTGAAGTCTGACCGAGAAGGAGGGTGGGGCTGCTGCAATCGCCATCGCATTACGGGTGCTTGCGCACGTCGGCCCCGCCCCGCCCCGCCACCCCGGGCCGGGCGTTCACCGGCGCGGCGGCAGAACGAGAAATTAATTTGGATCGCACGCCGCGCGCTGCGCTCTTACTGCGGAGCGGCGCCGCGCAGAATATAAACAATGAACGTGATTCATCTCTCCATATACCGCCCCCCCCCCTCTCTCTCTCTCTCTCTCTCTCTCACACACACACACACTTGGCGTTGACGTGGCGATGATGCACCACATTCCGATCGCTGAGCAGAGCACCTTATTCCAGGAGGCCCCCGCGCGCCTGGTGCACCGTGCCGTACTGGAGCCGGCCTGGAGGCGGGCCTGGAGCAGCTCGGCCTGGAGACGACCGGAGACAGGCGGGGGCCGGCTGGCTGGAGCCCACGTAAAGTGCTTCTGTACACAGCCCGGCTGCGCTTGTGGAGAACGCCGCGCCGCGCCTGTCCGCCTGCGCGCTCGCACCTCGTCAAATTTGAAGAGGGCAAGCCTCCACTTAGAATGCATTTCGTGGCAGCGAGGCCAGTTTGTGTGTGTGCGTGTGTGTGTGCCCGGCGTGAGGACGCATAC